CTATCTCAACCCTGTTTTTTCTTCAGAATTACTTTCGCAGATAGAAGTGTAAAGTGGGCTCCCCCTTACCCCCAACAATCTTTAGTTAACACTTTCAAGGTTTGGTCTTCAAATCCCATAGGCTCATATTACATTTACTATTATCTGAAAGATTTCCATAAGAATCATTTCCTGTCACCAGCAGGATAGTTCAATACTCCACTGTGTTTGAAGAAACACTGATGTTTAGACTAATGGGAACAGATATCTTTTTGGAAGCCACCAACTAGAAGTTCAGAACAAATCCACTCTCTTCATTATTAATGAAAATTATAGAATTCTGTCACGGGTAGAAGACTTGGAACAGTTTATAAAATGTATTCTTTCAGTCCAAGAGAGCCTACTGGAACCTTCCAGATAAATATTGCTATAAGGCTTCCTCCCTGGTGTGACAGAACAATAGCACAAAGTTCGGTAAAACAAATTAACTTAAAATTACACAAAAACTTGATGTGCTCTACAAACTTTTCTTCCCTACAACTAGTCCACCTCCCCAAATTACTCTTTGCAGCATTTTAGCTTAACAAAGTGTTGTTATTCTTGGTTAGTATACAACTAGGTGTGTATTTTTCTTCCCTGAGTTTGGTCAATTATAGATTTATAATAGGACGAAGCTGGTTAAGGAATATTACATAGTTATTTACCAATTTTATAGATTACGTCCTTCTTTCACAGTTTAAAAGCTACAAAGCAGTGTTCTTTAGCTTAATTTGAGAAATTACCTGCAACAACATACATAGATAGTATTAGAGCAGAATAGAACAATCTTAATTCTTATTGTAAACCTACATGTGCTTATAGAAAGTCCACACAACCATCATGGGAGTAGCTTTTTGCTCACTAATCTGTTTCTGAGAGTTCGGCATTTCAAGAAGTGTCTTTGTTTTTTGGAATAACCTTCCTCAAACTGTAGCTTGACCTATAATAAGATTTTAGTACTTCCTATTTCCTTTCTAGAGCTAAAATTAAACTGTCCATTCCTTAGGGCCCAGCATAACATCTGCCAGATGTCTAAGTATCTATGTGGAGCATTTTCTCCTAATACTTATCAGCCATCCTCACAATCAGTTAATGGCTTCCAAATACCAGTCTTCCTTTAAGTCACAAACCAATGCAGTAACATGATTAAATCTCTTTTTAGCTTTATTGAGCTACAACAATAAATCCCCCCCAAAAAATCTTACACTTCTGTTTGTGATTGTTCTAGTTTCCATATCAACCAACCAATTTTGCACTCACATCAGATTGTTCACATTCTGAACCCATTATATATACACATTAATATTTTTTTATTTTTTCTGGATAGTGAAACAGCATCTCTTCTCTCTACCAACTTGAAACATTCAATAGTGCTTTTTTTACATTCCATGTTCTTCAACAGCACAGCTCATGGTGATATGTGCTTTTATTAGATTTGTAATTAATTATTGTGTAAACCAAGGAACAGAGAGCATCAAAGTCAAGAGAACAACTGTAAGGTACCCCTATTAGAAAATAAGACATTCTTTCTGAAGTTACTTTAAGGTTTACCACCTTTTCAATACTTATCAAGTCCATTTACTGTGATGTGAATTTCAGTTCCTGCTTGGAAATATCCAAGGTAAGTATCTTCACTAGAAGGAACATTCTTGTGAGAATAAGGCCATGTCCCTCCAAACATGAAGAGTGTCGTGTGGTATTTTACATTCATAGTGACTAATTTAGGATTTTCTACATTGCCATTACTACAACATGTGTAGTCAGCCCTCCCTTAAGGTACTTCATCTTAAATCTCATACCTAGTGCAGGATAACACTTTTCATGTTCTATAACAATGGTTCTCAAACTCGGGGTCGCGAGGTTATTACATAGGGGTCACGAGTTGTCAGCCTCCACCCCAAACCTCACTTTGCCTCCAGCATTTATAATGGTATTAAATATATTTTAAAGTGTTTTTAATTTATAAGGGGGGGTCGCACTCAGAGGCTTGCTATGTGAAAGGAGTCACCAGTACAAAAGTTTGAGAACTACTGGTCTATAGCAATGAATTTAAGCTCAGAACAAACCCTTTGGTTTCTCTCATTTTAGAAATTCACTGCTTTTTTGGCTATGGAATGTATATATCTAAAAATAGTTTCACAGTTATAGGGATGGGAGAAGGACAATGAGAACCAAAACCAAACTTATGGAATTAAATGAGGGCCTTTTCATTTACTTCAGTGGTCACTGATTCAGGCCCATACCACTGATCGGACAGTAAATGGATTTTCCTTGTTTTTCATTCAGTTTCAGTGTAACCTTAAACACATCTGAAATTAGTGTTCCAAAGTTCATCCCACAAAAGTGGTGTTTCAAAGAAAGACACATATGTTTGCAGCCTTTCAGAAACTGAGCCAGACACACTGGCAACCAGAACTCTGGAACCACAGTTCTGGTTAGGTGGTAAAATGTTACACGTAGAACATATTGCACGGGTACTACCATTTCAAAAAAATTGGAAGTGATCAAGAACATGTTTTTTAAAACCTTCTAGCAGCTACAATCACCAAGTTCTTCTCCAACAACTACCATCTCCAAGTATTTCTACTTTTGTGTGTATTTTATCCTACGACCAACATATTGCTTTCTTGAGCTCTTCCAAATATTCTGAACGCAGTACAAAGCACATTACTCACACCTCTCTACTGACCCATGCTTTCAAACTGTGTATTGTAGCTCCTTTAAATGCTGCAATGTTTTAGGATTCCAGTTTGCACTTTTGAAGAACTGCATAAACTCTGCAACCAATCTGCAAAGGTTGGAGGGGAGAGGGTGATGGGACACCTGCCATCCTTTTTTAAGGCTACCCTAAACTATTCCATATAAAAAGGTGAAAAGAAATAAGCTTTGAAGAAATATGCCATCATATTTTTTTAAGATCTTAGGTTTCCATAATGACATTAAAAATAAACCAGAACACCAATGTTGCTAGACAGTTTCAGAAATAAGCATTTTTAAGACACTGAAAACATGAAAGTTGTTGGATGTTTTTAAGTCAGACAACATGAAGAAAAAGAGAAACCTCAATGAGAAACCGTATCTTTTATGGTACCTTAAGAACCTTCACCTTCCTAGCCTGCCCCAAGGCAGCTCTAAAAGCTTTGTGACATTGTAAACATGTAACCAAATTAGTTGGCAAAAATGTTTCATTTTAATGTATAATGTATCCAAAAGAAGGAATGTTGGTGAGCCTCAGAAGTGAAAATGCTCAATATAAGGCTACCAACATCCCCTTAGCACCTTAATGACTGACATTTCATGGTGTTCTGCAGAAGAACCTGATCAGCCTCAAGTGAAAGACACTTACCTCCAAATACTTAAGAAAAATTAGGTCTTTGGCCAACTGAATCAACATCTCAAATCCCATGAAGTTCAACCAGAAGAAAAATCTAAAAGGTTGACTTCAACATGAAAATTGGAGAGAAAAAAACCTCAGGATGTGTTTCTCTGTGTGGATGAGAGCCTAAGAAATTTCTTCCATTTCCTTATAGAATGAAGTCACAGAGAAGAACCATCAAAATGTTGCACACTGAAAAACTGAAGAACCCTTAAGGGAAAAAATAAACTATGATTAAGCCAGCCATTGCCAGCAAAGCTTCAAAAAATGGAGAGACATCCATAATGAGCACTTCCCATCTCAGCTTTGTCTACTGGGAGCCTGCTCTCTCTCTCTCTCTCCTCCATTTTCTGGTGGAGCTACAGAACATGACATGGCTTACCTGACTCAGATCACAGCTCTCTGCCAAACTAGTCACTTCCTCTTAGACATGCAAGCCGCTTCATGAGACAAACAGACACACACGAAAAGCAGCAGCAGAAAGCCCCCAAACTTGAAGGTCTTTCCAGTTGCTGACATTAAAACAAATGAAACTTTTTTTTGTTTTGTTTAAAAAGGAGGAGAGGAGGGAGGGATCCTATCATAGCTCATCTATAGGGAGCTTCAGGAGGATCTCACTCTGTGTAGGGTAGAAACTACAATGCTAAGAGGAAAAGAAAGGTTACTCCAGGAGACATAAAAAGCTTGGAGACTGTGTCTGCATGGGGGGGGGGAGCTTTGTGTTGTGGAGTCTGGACTGGAACCAAAGCAGACAGCTTGCAAATGGAGGACAGGGAGATAAAGGAAGGGAAAGGGAGAGGAGGGAAAGCTGCTGGGGGGGAGGCTCTTTCTTCCCTGTGTGACTGGAAGACAGAGACACCCGGGGAACTGAGCAAGAAGTGAGGCTCTTTCCTCCTCCTTTCTCTCTCTCCCTCTCAGAGGAGAGCAGGAGCGTGTGTAATGGCTTCTCCTCTCCAGCTAACGCTGTCCTCCTCCAAGCAACCCCCTTCAGAAACCACCAGCCCCCCCGGAGACCCAGCCGGAGACCCCCACATCCCAACTTCAGGAGAGGCGGAGGGAGGGGGGGGCGAGGAGGCAAATACCTGGGCGAGGGACCAGCGTTGCACCAGGGGAGGAGGAAGAGGAGAGAAGGAAGGAGAGAAAGAAAAAGAAAGAGGTCACCCGATTGCCTGGGTCGTGCCAGCACGGAGCTTTTCTCTCCTCTGTGTCTCTCCCGTCTCTGATCCAAGTCCACACACCCAGGCACCATCCAGTCCTAACACATACACACATCCATCCATCCCCCCAGCTCTGCTGCTCTCTCACTTATCGCCCCATATCCCCCCCCCTTAATGCAACAACAACAACAACCAAAAATTAATTAACCGCCTTCCTCCTCCCACCACCACCAGCACCTCCTCCTCCTTCTCCATGCAGGAGACTTCTCTCTCTCTTTCAAACAAAACACCCCCCTTTTTTCTTTTCCTCCTCGCCTTCCTCCCTTGGTCGAATGAATGGATTTCAGAGGAAGACGGGGTGGTAGAAAGAAAGAAAAATACGGGCGAGAGAGAGAGAGATGATCTCTCCAAAGCCAAACCGGAGATGGATTTTAATTGCAAGAACTTACAGTAGCGTCCCGAAGCTGCTGCTGCTTTCTTCTTCTCCTCCTCCTCTGTGTCTAGCTCTTCTTCTTGTGTTTGTTGTGGAAGTTGTTATGTGAGTCTCATGTGCTCCTTGCCAGGTCTCAGCAATGGAGGATCGCCATCTTTCCCTGCTTTTCCCCCCTCTCCTTCACTGGCTTGCTGCTGCAGCTGCAGATGACCTGAGATATCCGTCTCTCTCTCCCTCTCTCTCTCACCCTCTGTGTCTCTCTCTGAATAATGAGCAACCAGAGGGAGAGAGAGAAAGAAGACAATCTCCTCTCCTACCACACAAAACGCAAGAGCACCAGGGGGTGCACGAAGCCTTTCTAACAACAACAACAACGTGGAGGGGAAGAGGAGGAAAAAAGAGAAGGAGAAAGAGAGAGGAGGAAAAGGCAAGAAGAGGGGGGAAAGGGAGGGAGGAGAGAGGAAAAGAAAGAGATGGAGGAGGAGGAGAAGATGATGCTGATAGAGGAGGTGGTGAAGCTGGAGGAGATTAAGAGAGGGAAGGTGGTTACAAAGTTAAGGTTTGGGACATGGAGTCACTGAGAGGCCAGCGCGAGGACGTGGAGGGGGGAGAAGCGATCTAAAGAGCTTCCCATTCCAAGCTGGTGCCTTCACACCGCCTCCTGCACAGAAGTGCTCATTAGCCCTGGCGGTGCTGAGACAGCCCGCTCGGATGGATCTCGCCTGCTGGGTCATAGCTTTCTACCAGCCCTGGCAAAAACCGGTTCCTGCATGCAGATGTGCCCCTGAGCTGATTCCCTCAGACACATCCATCTAGAGGCTAATCTTTCCTGAGCTGGGTAAAGAACATAATGGAGCTGGAGGTTGCAAAGTATAAAACCAGATTCACCACGTGGTTGGTTTTTAATCCCCCTTCCAGCCTGCATTTGATGTGGAGGAAAGAGACTCGAATTGTCCATTGCTGGCACGTATTTTGAAGTCTTCTCCCGGAAATAAAGACTCTGCCATTGCTAGTTTTTCATTACTCATAAGCATGTAGGAAAAAGAGAGCTTGTAATACCGAGCACCAACATTACTTTCTAGATCTGAAATGTTTTGACTGGGAAAAATCCCCTACTTAAAATAACTTTTACACCTTCCAACCCCAAGTTGTCTGCACGTCTGTCGCTGAACATTTTAAACCTTGGAAAGTAACAATCAAGGTTCATAATGATCAGGTGTCATGATGTTGAAGGCATGAAAGCAAAGATGAAGTTGCTATACCCTGATTTTTTGTTTAGTGTAATCGTTCTGAGCCACCTCTTTTGCAAATAATTCCACCCCCACCTCCACCCCCACCCCCACCCCCACCCCTTCTTTCCATTCCGAATCAGAACCCCCTCCGGCTGTAATCTGGGGCCGGGAGGGGTACCGTCTCGCAAAATCAATACATTGTAGTGATGCCACAGCAATCTAAGTGCAAGGACATGACCATTCATCATTGGCATTTCTCTAGTCCTCAAGCTGTGTTGTGCTTCATATGGCTAGGAGAGGAAGTAGAACTGTAATTAAAGGTTCTTTTGATCGGGCTTTAGTTTGGGCGAACAGGAAGAGCCCTTTTGTGGTTGGAGGGCGGGACGGAGAGGATCTTAAAGGTGCCAGGGTTTTATTCGAGATATGGAGGTGGTTTATTACAGCTCTGTTCTCTTTAATAACCCAACTCAACAGCTAAAGAACAAGCGAGAAATGGAGACAACGGCTAATCAGATCATGCCATGTAACCATCAGATATGAAAACAATATAGCGTCTCCCATGAGCTCATTCAGCGTTCTCAGTTAAAGCAAAAAGCAGAATTCTCCCATTAACTCTTCCTCCCGCTTAAACCAAAAAGCGAGAATTCCCACCAAGTGCTGCAGACATGGGAGGAAGGAGAATTACTGGGTAGAAGGAGCGTTCTGAACCCCCTGGGAATTCACACGGACTCTGGTGGTTTCACGCAGACAAATGAAGCGGACACCTCCTAGGAAGCTGATAAAAGAACATTAGGGAAGGGAGGGACTGGCTTTCCGGCTGCCAGGATGTGCATGTGTTCTGGCAGCAAGTTTCTCTAAATCAGCCCTCGGCTTGAAGAGAGCGCCGGGACTTTTACAGGATCTTTGACGTCCCTTCGGCGGCGGAGCGGATAATGTCCCTCTTTGTCTTTAATGGGGTGAAAAGAACCCCTGACTCCTCCGTCAGGCTACACTCCAGGAAAATAACAACCGTACATCGGGACCTGGGACAAAAATCTTCAGTGAGGTAGTTTCTCGATTGCTTCTTTTCACTGCGGTGCCCCTCAAAATCTCAGCCCTTGAACGGATCTGGCCTCTCGGTCCTAGAATCCAGTTCAATTGCCAGGGCAGAGGGCTGCCGTCCTTTTCTTGTGGCCTCTCCCCACAAAGAGCACGGGTCTTGACTATAAGACACAAGGAAGATGCAGCTGTTTCCCCCTCAGATGTCTCGGGGGACTAAAAAGGGGAAGCGTTTGCTAAAATATCCCCTCTCAAATAAATGAATGAGCCACCCAGCAGTTCCCCTTTAAGACAAGGGATGACACGTGTACTAATGGAAGTCAAGTTTAGCAGAAGGTTTCTTGAGGTGGAAGGGATATAAAACCCTCCTGCTTCAAGGCACAAACTAAACCCTGGCTAATGGGGGTTAGGAAGACATTGTCCCTGTGGACAGGTTAATCCATAACTTCCTTCTGCAGAGTTTCTTCCCATCTTTCTTTGAAGCAACTGGTGCTGGCCACTCGCGGAGAGAGACTCCTGGACTAGATGGACCCACTGGTCTGGGTCTGTATGACACAATTCCTATGCTCCTGAAAACAATGAATCATGAAAAATAGAAATCTGGAGGAATTTTATTAAAATCTGTAGGTACTGCCATGCCCCCAAATTTTTAGTTATCTATCTACAGATATCTGTGTTTCTATTATCTGTTCTGCTTAGCCTTATTACACAAATATTGATTGTTCAAGTGAGCTCTCTCCACTGCTGCTCTATAGGAAATGTACACAATTACACAAACTGCAGTCAGGAGACCCAAGATTTTAGCTAATGAGGCAGCAGTTTACCTACAGAAGGAAAATAGCAAGTTCATCAACTAGCCAAATACAGTAAATGAAAGTGTGTCTGACTGTCAAAACTTACAGCCCTCTTCTTAGGAATGTAAAAGGGATGAAGTGTCAAGATGTGACAGGTGGGTCCATCCACCCGAGATGACCATATAAACGGAGAGTCTCAGGTATGGTGATCAGCAATAAAAAGGTTAACTGTGTTGACACGTAAGTGATCCTAATTAGCCTCTCAAATTATCAGCCCATTAAGAGGAAGGAGGAAAGTTTGCACTTCTCTTGGTGCTGGCATTTCGGTCTCTGATGACTCACCAAGACAACAATGCTTTTGTTTACATTCTGAAGGTTACCTTCACAACCAAAGGGCCTAGAAGCATAATTTTTAAAAATGAAAGCACTGAATCTGTAGGAAACCAGCAAAATCTATTACAAGAACCTAAATCCTCTGTAGATGTGCATCTTCTGTCCCGGTAATATTTTTGTTGTCCCATCATTCCACATAGGAGCTCAGACCTAGTTCAGTTTTTGTTTGTTTTTAAAATGGAAATCTTGTTTCACCAGAACGGTTACTATCTAACACTACAGCATTACTCTTGTTCCTCTTGAAGCCAATGGAAGTTTTCCTGTGGACTATGATGGGAATTGGTTCAGGTCCGATTAAAATAATAAACTTTTCATTTTTGGTATAAAGGAATAATGAGAACTAGAAAGACCTGGCCAAGGTAGGTGGCTAAGAAGCACAACACCAGAGGAAATTCAAGGTACCATACATTGTTCTTCCAGTTTTCAACCACCCATGCACGTTGATGAAGTCCAAATTAACTGTAACGGCTCATGAGAACCAGTAAACAACAACAAATGTGCAAATAAGATGTATGGGGATATTAAGAAAGGGGTAAAGGATGATATTGGAATTACACATATATAAATCAACAATACACCATCACCTTCAATGCTATGTTTATTTCTCATTACCCTATCTCAACATTATTGGAGCAGAAATGGGAGAAGTCAAGGAAAGGACAAAAAAAGTATTTAGAATCTTACAAAAACTTTCATAGTGAAGAGAGCTTAAAATGTTTAGGACTATTACATTTGGAGGAGTTGAGTAATGAATGGTGACTGTCTATTTTCCTCTCTCATAATAGGAAGGAAAGGGGCATTCAGTTAGAAGACAAAACATTTGAAACTGAGAAAAGGGCATTTCAAAACCTAGTGCATAGTCAATCTGTGGAACTCACTGCCACAAGATATCATCAATGCAAAGAGTTTGGTTGAATTTTAGAAAGGATTAGACATTTACAAGAATGTCAGTAGTTTCATTAAAAGGATAAAATAAACATTCATGCTTTGGGACACAGATCTCCCAAGGCCTTTTATGACATAGGTGTCTATATGAGATGTTTTACATTTTCCTCTGAAATGTCTGGCGCTGGCTACTGTTGTAGACAAGATAGATTGGGATTATTGATCTATTTACGTAAGGTAATACATATGTAAAACTACAGTAACATACCAATATGACCCACTCATCTTGCTATGCAGTAGAAGCAAAACAAGTATTAGGATGTTCCATTAGTCTGCTTGGTACTCCAAGCCCAGGAACTTCATAGAAGAGACAAATCTACAGATGAAAGACCATCTGGGAGCACAGAGACATTCCAAAAACCTTCTAAACAAGTAACAGGAGGGAACTAAGTGGAACACAAAGAAGGAATATTGCCACTATCTCTGAATCCATAGTAATGTATCCCAGTCAAGAAAGTGGAATGACATTTTAGAACTTGTAATTCCAGAAATATCATACTTCCCTTGACCAAGGAGGAGTTACTATCAGTATTATCACCTATAATCCTACCTGTGCTGTGATGAAGAGAAGAAATACACACCCCTTATTACTTTATAACTGGCAGAAAAAGGCTTCAGTTGCTAGAAGGGCCTCATGTTCTGATATCAGCGTAATTCTGCTGATTTCATAGATTCATAGATTTTTAAGGCCAGAAGGGACCATGCTGATCGCCTAGTCCGACCACCTATATAACACAGGCCACAGGAATTCACAGAATAATTTTTGCATCAAGCCCAACATTTCACTGTTAAAATAATGAGCTTAGTTATGCCAG